AACGTTATACGCCCCCCCCCCCCCCCCCACAGAAATACATTTTTAAAGGAAAAATAGAAATCACAATATCCAATGCAAAAAACTAACATTATATAATTAACAAACTCTTGAATAACAAATTCATTATCATTTACAAAAGTATTAAAAACAAATAACATGTTCATTACAAAAATAAAATATTATTCAACATGTGCAAGTGTAACACTTGATAATAATGAAATATGTACACTCTTTTAAATATTAAATGATTTCCCATCATCTCCACTTATACAGCTATACTCTTATACAGTCTCTATTGGCAATTTTGGTAATGGTTATACACAAAGAATTAAAGAAGAAAATAAAGTTCCACATAATTTCTTTGATCACTTTTGGAATGAAAAGCATATTGTGGAGCACATGCACATGGGCTGAATTTAGATTGGTGGTGGTTGTGGAAGAAGATATTGTCTGGCAACAAAGTAACATAATTGGAATGAATACAAACTGAGAAGCTGTTTCACACTTAACTTGATCATAGGGTGCCATGTGTGTCTTTTGGCCTTATTCACCTTTAACAGTGTGCATATACATATTAGACACTTCCTTCCTCATAAGCTTCATTTGATTCATATAGTAATTAGGCCATTTGTTTTACTTAAACTTGTAGTTGATAATCATGGAAACACGAAAAACGATCAAACTCATGAGACTTGTAATTAAAGGACTCATTCCCGCAAAGTACAAAACTAACAACTTTATAACTCAGAAAATAAATATAAAAAAATCTTTTTTTAAAGGATACAATATGACATTAATATTTGAACCCAAAATCATGTATATATTACTAAAAATCTCACCATTAAGTTGACTTTAATATTTTTTTTATGTAGTATTAATTATCATTTTATTTTATTTATACTCTTAATAATAATTCTTTAGAAAATTATTGTTGCAATATATCATTTTTAACAAGATTAAATGGTGTAAAAAAGAAGAAAGATTAATATTTAGTATTATAGTTACTTTTATAAAATTGTTATTATCTTTTATCTATTTATTAACTTTTATTAATTTGTGTAAAATAATACTATGAAAAGGAGTTTGTTCACATACTCACTATATAACCATATTCGGTGTTCTCATGACAGTCAGATGTTGAATTGGAATGTTCTTTTAAATTTAAGAATACTTCTTGAAGTTAGCTACCAGTCTACTATGCTCTTTCATTGTTGGAAATCTTAAGCACCAAATTTTCCAAAAGCTTGTTCAAAATATCATCAATATAAATTAAGAAAGCTAACTTCTAAAAGTTAAATACTTATAAGAAGCTAATAGGTTCTGTATGCACATTCATATGGCTAAGGCATAAAATATTGGGTTCGTTTGCTTACTTTTCTTTTAAATTTTTAATAAAATAAGTAATTTTTTGTGTTTATTTAAACTTTTTTTTAAATAACTCCTATTTGCTTCTTAATTTTTTTTAAAACACTTATTTTTTAATTTTAAAGAAACTGACCCATTATAAGTTTTTTTTTAAAAAAAAAAACTATGCATTGCTAAATTTTGGCTTATATTTAATTGTGCAAAATAAAGGGGAAAAATATTCTACAGCACAAAATTTTCCTTGTTTGATTACTTGGCAATTCCTATCTGGGAATTTTCCGTCTGCCTCATTCAAATCTTGATTCTATGAATGCTAATTTTACTAAGGTTTAAAAGGAAAGAGATTATCAATGACAATGAGATGGTGTAGTCAAGAAATTCAAATTCCTATCAAATAGGCCAACCTACCTTTTTCTGAAGCACAAATATCATTTACTACTTTAGCATATATTTGTCACTCATTCTTGAAAAAATTACGAGGATGACTTTATTATAATGGTTTCTCACTTTAGAAACTACGTTTTCTTCCAAATAGGAGAGTCTCATTTTCTTGAATATTTGTGAGTATCCATTGGAAATTATTTCTGAGAATGAAGGTTTCTCTATATTATAAACAAGACAAAAACCATGTCAATCATTAAACCCTAAAATATGAAATAAGATGAAATATGTATCTCATTTTTATTTTATTTATTTCCTTCCCATATTATTTGCCTTATGGAGAAATCCTCAACACTGAAGTTTCGGCTTCCTACAAATCTTGATTTTATTGATAAACTTAGATTTTGCGAAGCTTCTTCGTGAAAAATGATGGAAAGAAAAGTTATATTGAACGGTTCAATTAAGATTAAATAGTATATTAATAAATTGGACTAAATTTTTACGCTGCCTTTTAATTATAAATTATCATGCTTTTTATTTTTTGATCAGCAAAGAGATTATGTAGATTAAACAATACAGAGAGTACCAAACCCGTATAAAAAATACCTTAAGTTCATCTTAGAGGTTATGACATTTATGTTTGTTATGACAAATGATAAGTTTAATAATTTTTCTAATAATTATTTTAAAATTTATATCAATGATAAATTTTTATTGATTGTCATTTTTTTTACACCGACAATAAAACAAAAAAATTAAACTCTTGAAGAATATGCAAGAGAAATATAACCAAAGATATAAGAAATAGACGGATACTTGTGAAGTCGAAGATCGACTCGTCATCATAAATTATGTCTAATATACTCTTAAAAAAGTAGGTTTATGATAAATCCATCATATTAGTCCAACTAAAAGTCTTAAAGTAATTTAATGATTAAAAAAATCCACTACACTTGGATTTAAAAGACTCATATAACGCCATGTTGAAGAAAATACCTTTGTTTCAATATTTTTCTCCCTTCATTTCCGGTATTATAAGTCATACTCCAGTCTCCAAACCTGTTTTTCTCTTTTTCTGACATGAAAACCACCGGGGAGGGGACCAATTTACAATCACCCGAAACACAAATTACATACAAAGATTAGAAGTTAAAATCAAATAAATAATGGCATCCATTTGAAGGTTTCTAAGTCGAAAACAATGGCCTCAAGGCTGGGGGCTGCCATTTACAACATAAGCAGAACCCTTACCTGATTCATTATTTTAGCCACTAACCTTGATGTCTGTCTTGTCTAATTTCAGTTATGTATGTACACAGATGTTTATTTTCTTCAATTAGAGCCAAATTCCTCATTCCAGCGTTCAAGCTCTTCCCACTTACTCTTGTTTAAGCTTGGTCTGATGATTGTCATTGCCTTCTTAAAATCCTCGTACCTCAGTCCTCTTACCTGGTAAAGCCGAAAATAATTTTGACAATAAAAGGAAGGTTTTAATTAACACGATCACACTAATCTGCATCTAAAGAAATTAGTTTAAAAAAGTAGCATGCCTGATTAGCCTTGACAGTAAGAATGTCAGCACCCAACTCTCGAATTGGCATCATTGCAGCTTCTTCACACAAGGCTTGCAGATCACTACCAGAATATCCTGCAAACAAATAATAACAAACATTATAATGGTCATATTTAAAAAGGAAACAAAAATGTCTCATCGTTCTAATTTCTTTCTCATCACAAGTCAAACTAGGTTGCTAGCAAAATATGTATTTTAGCTACAAATACTTGCCTTCTGTCTCTTTTGCAAGCTTCTCTAGATCTCTACCTGCAACATAAAAATCCCAAGTTTTTAGTTAAAAGAAGAGGGCAGTGCAAATAATAATATTCTGGAGATTTCTTTTATGAAAGATGTCGATGACAAAAGTTTAAAGCATACAACAAAACATACCGACTGTTACAATTAATAATATTTTTGCATGTTTGATCCCTCCGCAAGTATGTTGTTTGGCAAACAATAACAAGTAAACTATTTTTTTCAAATTAACATGAAACAAGCCATGCACCATAAAACCAGAATACCCTAGAAGAATAAATAACCAGGAAATACATTCCGTAGCACAAGAGTATAAAAATCAAAAGTATCACAAAGCATAAAATATGAGCACATTGCTTACTAGGTAAGGAGAATGCTTGACCCTTGAGTTTGTGTTTTAGTAGAAGCTTCCGAACATTTCCATCCGGTAAAGGTATGTATATTCTTTTCACCTAGTAAGGATTTCACAGCAAACCCAATAAAAGAGTAAGTAGAGAAGCAATGTAATTCAAAGATCATTATAACCACTATACATGGCATACAATCATGCATAGATTCCAATGGACACAAATGGAAGCTCTCATAAAGAATATACCTTCAAAGTGTTTTTTTTTTTTTTAAATTTGAAGACTGATCGTTTTTTCCATGCATTTAAGAAAAATTGGAAGAATAGTAACAGAGAACATAAGTCAGGGGGAGAGAAGTACACAAATGCCATATTGCCATGCAAATAGAAACTCTATAAAACAATTGCTAGGAGTCTAAGCAATTTGACAATACATAGAAGAGAACAGTGAATATTAGAATAGAAGTTTATGGCACATATTAAATACAGACACGTTACAATTAACAAAGGTGTACATACAACATAATATTATCAACAAAAAGGTTTCTCCTTCATATGACCATTTCAAAACCACCATTATGATAGAATCACATTATTTATCCATTTCTTAAAGGTACAAAACCTAACCTTGAACAAGGCATATAATAGTGTCAAACAAAAAATAAATAAAAGATTATATCCCTGTACAATATTTCAATGAGAAAAAAATTAGAAGATAATTTATATCTAACAGTGATAAACATTTATCATTTAAAAATCAGATCAGCAACATGACATTCTGGAATTATATTTTCTACATTTCCAGTATAGGGCAATAAAGAAATTCTTACCAGTCTCCTAAGAACTGCATCATCCAATTCTTGTGGCTTATTTGTCGCACCTATATTAAGAAGGGCAAGGAAATTTAAGTGTTTAGTATGACTAATAGACTCGTAGACAAATGCCCAGGCACTCAGTTATCTATAATAAAACTCACATAACAGTGTGAAATAAAAGAGATGATAAAGCTAGCAATTCCACATATACAATAGGTGAATTCAGTTTTACATCCATCATATGCAGATGCCACATTTTTAGGAGGACAGATTACAATGAAAGCCAGCTAGCAAAGGAACTTATATTGTTATTAACATATCTCAAAGTGAGGGATAGAATACAACTGAATTTAAAAGAGAAGATAGGAAAATCTAATCAATGTGCAATGCCCCCATGATGTACTGATAGATGAGATTAAACAGCTATTTCTAAAACAGGCCAAAAGGCCATCAACCAATTATAATTTCAGAGGGACTTGTGCTCATTTTTAGAATCAGAATGATTAAGGGTTTGATTGATTTCACCGTTTTCTATTCATTTTCAAAGAAAATAGAAAATAAGCATGAAAATATGTTTATTTTTAATTTTACAAAATGTTTCCTTTAAAAATGTTTTCAAAAGAAGTTCAAAATTGAAAATGACATTTTCACTATATTCTGCACTTTTGAAAATGCAGTGGCATTTGACAGTAATTATTAAAAAATTTTCTGAACTTGTTTCTAAGTTTGTAGCCTTGCACACATAATTCGATAGACTTAATTTTTTAAAAAACATGTAATTCAATCGATCTATCGTACATTTTTTTTTGTATGTAGAGAAGTTTAGTTTGGTACTTTCATGTGTATTATATATTAATATTAATACTAATATTATAAGATTTATTAGATATAATTATTCTATAGATTTTAATTACATATGTTATTTATATTCTTCAATTATTTTAATTAAATATGATTAATATGTAGTGTGATTAAGTTTTGGTTGCTATATTTTAAGATAAGTAGTATTAATTATATATATATACACACATAATTTTGATATACAATTACTGTTTGTTAGATAATAAATTGTTCATTGGATAAAAAAAATATAAGGGGCATTTGCACGTTTGTATAGTAAAATCCACCTATTATAGGAGGAGAGTATTCAAATAAGAATAAATATAAGCTAGAGTAGAAAGAATGAAATATTTACAAAATAAAATATTTTTCTAATTCATATATAGAAAGTAATTTTGACAGTAAATTTCATACCAAAAAAAATTATGAACTTTTATTGAACATAGTCAAACCAAACATGTTTTCTAAATTTTAAAATTAGAAAATGAAAATTATTTTTTGAAAATGAAAATAGAAAATATTTTCTGAAACCAAGCACACCCTAAGTATCTTCATATATAATGCTTACCAATTACAATCACAATATCATCAGGATTGGAGGTCACCCCATCAAACTGGATAAGAAATTCGGATTTTAATCGTCTGCTGGCATCATTCTCATTTGCCAACCTTGTTGACATTATACTATCAATCTGGTATCAGTTAAGAAAGGAAATTAATATTGTTTGAAGTGTAAAAAAAATTGAGGTGTGAAGAAAACAACCTTTTTTTTTTCTTATTTATAAATTTGCCTATTTAACTAGTATGGCTTCAAGAAAAGAAAACTAATAGTTAAAGTTAAACACAACATAGCATAACCTTGCACTGTAGCCATCATAAGGGATTATAACTTTACAATCAATGATAATGATCGTCACCTTGAAAGTGCTACAAACCAGGGCAGACTAATGTAATAAAGAAATAAACTTTGTTTCACTAAAAATAGACACTGGAATTACTTATGTGCATCATCAATGTTAAAAAATATTTCAACTCATTAACCTAATTCAGTTAGAAGATAAAAGTACCAGAGAAAACTATAATCAAAAGGGATCCTTAGTCACATCATTTAAAACATGCACTCCACATTCTTAAGAATAAGTCCAATAAAAATTTGTTAGAAATAATGTGAATAGGATGTGTGGAAGTATTATTGTTATTATTATTATGTAATCAAGATAACTACGATAACTGTAAGCTTTATATTTATGGCATGACACCTATTGTATATAATAGTATCCGCTGTGTAATCAAGACACAAAATTCATCACATGTCTCATGTTTTCTTTCTTGATATAAATCAGTTAATGTTGTGCTCTGAACCAAGTTTCAAAAACAAAAATACTTGAAATGCAGAGGGCAGTTGGACATATTTATCTAGTTATCAAACACAGCTCGGAAGAGTTGATCCTAAAATGGTTCATTACTTTGCTTCCAAAGCAAGCTAATTTTTTTCCCCTATTCCCTAAACATATTCTTCCATGATAGTCTTTCTGGTCTTTTTTAGCAGGGGGAGTCGGGGAAGAACAATTTCTCTATCTATACATGAGAGAAATACCTCATCAATGAAAATTACAGATGGCTGTCTGGATATGGCTACCATGAATAGTGTCCGGACAAGCTTTTCACCTTCACCCACCTATTGAGCACAAGTTAATTGTGGTGAAACTTCTGAATTCATAATATTACTTAAACATATTAACATAGGAAATAAATTAGAGTTAAACAATGATACCACTAGAATGTATGAAAAATATGCAATAATATCCTGATTCTATTTAAGAATAATTTAGAAAATCTAGGATTACCTGTTAGGATTAGCTTCCATATTTTCTAATGCTTAATGATTTGTTTCCTTATAATGTTAGGATTATACGTAGCATTATTTTCTAAATCTTTTTTATTTCCTTTTCACCAAAAAAAAATGACTTTTTTATTTCCTTTTCCTCCTTCTATACCTAAAACCCTATAATTCCAATTGATACAGATAGAGACATACCCACTTTGATGTCAAGGAAGCTGCTGTGACATTAAAAAATGTTGCTTGTGATTCTGAAGCCACTGCTTTGGCAAGCATGGTTTTTCCATTACCAGGTGGACCAAAGAGAAGCAAACCTAGAATAAAAAAGGTTCAGCAATGTCAATATTTGGCATATTCATTCTACAATTTTCACCACTATCCAATATATAACCAAATGTAACGAGGTCCTATGGCATTACCTCGGGCTGGCCTTCGAAGACCAGTGAATAAGTCTCTTCTCTTAGTTGGCAAAATAACCATCTCCATTAAAGCTTGCTTTGCCTTTTCAAGCCCAGCTGCAGTTCCGCACTAATAATCAAAGAAATGATAACATATAAAACAAAGAAGCAAACATGCAAAGATTCTTACCGACATCTTCCCATCTAACAGAGGGGCTTCTATCTACTATGGCAGTGTTAATCATTTCAACTAGTTTGGAATCATAATTTCCACCAGACGGTTGACTAGGTTTGGGGCTTCCAACGTTATTCACCTGACCTGTTCTTTGAGGGGGCTTTTGTAGCACATTTTTTCTAGTACTCGATGGCTTAATCGGAACTGCAGCAGTTTGGACAAGGTTTGAGGTGCTCTGCAAACATTTTTATGGAAAAAGAAAAGAAACATCAAAGGTTCATCACAATCATAAAATTAGTTCCCTATGACCAATATACAGTAAGAACATTTGATAATTATAATTTAACAGGCTTGCTGAAAAGTCCAACCACTCTGAAGCCTTATTATAATCAATTACTATTATAACCAGTTATAATTATAATCAGCGTAAGTTTGCTGAAAAACAATTTTAAGATATATAATTTCATTTGCATACTGCCTACAACAAAAGAAATCATTGTTTGGAGAAGTTGAAAAACAATCATCAGCTTCAAATTTTCACATGCATGAAGAAAAAAAATTCAGAAAAAAATAAATAAATCTTCTTACAAATTTCAGCTATCATAAACATACATCATATTTTAGGAACAACATTTCTGCTAAAAAACAGCTGAAAAACTTCAAAGTTAATTTTCTAAACACACTCTAAAATGTATTCCTTCCGATTCTAGAACCACAAAAAAAAAAAAAAAAAGTAATCACCGGACAAACAACAGGTTCAGCTTCGAGAAGCCAAACAGCAACAACATCATACCTGATTAGAAGACGAGCTACCAGCTCGTCTACTCAGAGTCTGCAATCTCTCAGAAACCTGACTCTGCCATTTGGATATCTTCTGGCGATAGGACTGCACCTTCTGCTGCTCACTGTCAGAAACAGTCACATGATTAGAACTCAGAAACCCTACTTTGTCAGCGAAGAATTGGCGTGAAATTGAATGAACCTGGAAGTGATGTAGGAGGGAACGGGAGTGGAAGTGGCTTCGGCGAGGATGGAGTGGGCGTTCCTGTAGTGAAGAAGCGCGTCGTCGGCTAAGCCCCATTCCTCTGCCCTAACGGCCTTGGCGATCTCCTGCGTGGCCAAATCGAAGTAGCCTTTGAGCTTGTAGGCGACGCGCTCGTTGGAAACCGAAGGAGAAGGAGAAGGAGAAGGAGCTTCCATTGAAGGAAAATTGGGATTGTTATCGGAGACGAAGATGGAGTTGAAGGAATCAATTATTCCCTGTAAGAAACTCATCCCTCGCGAATGCTTTTCATCACTCGCAATCCCCGATTTCGGTTCGCCTGTGTCTGCCTCTGCCTTATTGTATTTAGATTTTTTGTCTTTTAGGAAAAATGTTTCATTTGATTTATGCTAGTTATTTGTTTGTGTATTACTAGACTCTGGAAGATTTGTTGTATATAACTAAATTTTATAAATAAATATAATATTTAAATATAATTAATTATATTTAAATTTTATATAAAAATATGTTTTTAAATATATAGCTTATATATGATAAATAATTTATGTTATATTATGCTATTATTTTTATTTATTAATAATTTATTTTAAAAAAATTAAAATTTAATATATAAATAATTGTGATAAATAAAAATTAAATTAGATAAAAAAAATTAATTTTTTTTTAAATCCTCTTATAATTTTTTTTTTCTTCTAAAAACACGTTTATACAACATATAGATATATATTTAATATAAGGAGAGTTGATTATATTTTGTATAACTTGTAAAATAGTTATTTTTAAGACATTTATGTTTAATTAGTACTACAATTTCTATTGTTAAATTTATAACAATTTTTTTGAAAAATTATTTATAAAAAAAAAAAAAAAGATGAATAGAAGGGGAAAAAAAAAAGCAAATGTAAAAGAATTATCATAATATATAAAATCAATACCCATAAATTCATATTTTTTATCTCTAAAAATATAAAATCACGCTCAAATTCAAGGTTGTCTAGCAAGTTGGAAAATCAAGTTACTTAATACAGCGAGGTGTACAGTACCACCCATGCTAAATCTATGTTGTTAGTCATTCCAACATATGTCATGTAGAACCGTTGATTGCCTGAAAGGTCTTGTGTAGCTATAGACAAGATGATAACAGACTTTATCTAGGATAAGTCGACCTTTTACTAGGTAAGTTGGAGTGACATTACTAGAAAGAAGAAAGACGAGGGGCTGGCCATTCATTTTGCTAGGGAGACTAATGTTTCTCTTACTAATGTTTTTCTTTTTGGGAAACATATTTGGAGCTTTATGCATCAACATGATAAAATTGTGGGTTAAACTTCTCAATTATAAATATTTGGCATTAACCTTTATTATGTGGGTTGTTATTAACGAGAGTTCTTCATAAGTCTAGTCATCCATCATGAAAGTTATGGAGTTACTAAAAGATGGTTTTCTCATATGTATAGGGGCGAGCAACATTTCACTTTGGTTTGATAAATGACTTACAATGCGACATTTATGTAGCTAGATATAGATTACATTCATATCACAGATTCACATATTCTTGTGCAAAACATTTTCCTCAATGACACTTGGAACCTATAACATATTATGAGCTCCTTTATTAATAAGGAAGTTAATGACTGCATCATTTGGCATCCTGCCCAAGATGAAATTTATTCTACAAAATCAGGCTATTGGTGACTTAAAGCATGTATGTACTCATTTTCATGATAACTAGGAGGGAGACTTGGACTTGGCTTTGGTCTTCAAACCTCCCTAAATCCTTGAAGTTTTTCATTTGGCTAGCTCTTCATGAGAGATTACTAAAAGGACTTTTTCTCATATTCTTTGTTACAATTGCAATTCCTCTCCGGAAGACATTTTCTACCTCTTGCGAGACTATCCAAGATCCCATCAGATTTGAATCATTATGTAATGGGGTACGTCCTCACCAACATGAACTCTTAATAACAGTAGAGCTTGCTTGTGTTCCTAAATACAATCTAATTGTAGTCCTCTTTTTGCAATGATTTGTTGGTTTTTGTGGAAATCGAGAATGATGAAACAATAAACAATAAAATATGGTAAAACTGGTATATTGTTAATCAAATAAAAGGTCATCATGTTATCATTCACATTAATGGTTAGCATGTTGCTCCCCTCTTCAAGTTTGTTAGGATCACCTACGTCTTCAAACTTAACACAAATGATTGTTCTAGAGGCAATCATGGGTCATTCGGGTTTGGAGGTGTTATTAAAAACATTCTAGCAATTGGATCATTCATCATTGGATTTTGTGACTCTTGTGGTTATACCATATTCTTAGTAGCTGAACTTTTTGCAATCCACCATGACCTGCATATTACTTGGGATAGAAGAACCTTTATCTTGATCTGCAAAATTGATTCAAAGTTGGTTGTACAACTCATTCATCAGAGTCACGTTCTATTCCACCCCCATGATAATATCATAAGGAAGATCCAAACTTTTTAAGGATTGAATTGAGAGATTATATTTCAGCATGCGCATAGAGAGATTAATATGTGTGCAAATGGGCTTGCAACGGAGGGTTCCTCTATCCCATATTGTAATTAAATTATTGGTTAAATACTTATTTTCGTCCCTGTCCCTGATAACAATTTTTTGTTTCAATTTAGTCTCACTTTAATTTTAGGTCTCAATTTGGTCCCCAATAATTTAAATCATTGCAATTTGGGACTTCCGTCCAAATGATTTAAACGAGGTTAACTCTCACTGACGTGGATGCCAGGTGGATGCCACGTAGATGCATAGGTGGATGCCAAATGACATGAATACACCTGGAACCAGAACGGGCCGTTCTGAAACTAGAACGGCCCGTTCTGCATGCACAGGTTATATGTTAATTTTACAAATGGAACGGACTGTTCCAAATGCAAATTTAACACAACATGAGTGCAGCAGAACGGACCGTTCTGAATTCAGCACGGGCCGTACTGCTGTCAGAATGGCCCGTTCCAGAACGCTAGCTTCATGTTTTTATTATAATTTTTTTATTATATCTATATTAATAAAAATGTAATAAACAAAAAATACAATAAATTAATATTCATTTATGAATAAAATTAAAAAAAAAAAAGATAAAACCTTCCAAAATCCTTCTTTGATTTGAACTTATCCGGTTCAAAATCTTGACTAAAATGCCGCAATGTGATTCAAAATTTGAAAATAAAAATCCATAATATATCATAAATTCAAAGACAGAAACATGGTTCAGAAACTGAAAACAAGAATTCAGAACATAATATATACTAAAAAAGTTTAAAGAAATTATTTCACTCTAGTTTAACTAACAATGAAATAAAACTTGTTACCGTTGTCCTTAGTGATACACTGCATCATCCTTAATGATACACTATATAGTCCAAATGTTTAGCAATTGAAGTTATCAATCCCCATTAACAATATTACCAAATCTAGTGTTTGAAATGCTTTGTACAGTGATTTTTTGTGCACGAAATTCTGGAACTAGAACGGCCCGTTCTGGTTACACTGTTGATGTGTTAAATTTGCACCTGGAACGGCTCGTTCCAGGTACAAAATTTACACACCAACAATGTAACCAGAACGGGCAGAACGGGCCGTTCTGGCTCCAGGTGTCTTCAACTATTTTGGGATCCACCTACGTGGCATCCACGTGGTCACCAGTTAACTCCGTTTAAATCATTTAAACAGAAGTCCCAAATTACAATGATTTAAATTATTGAGGACCAAATTGAGACCTAAAATTAAAGTGAGACTAAATTGAAACAAAAAATTATTATCAGGGACGAAAAGAAGTATTTAACCTAAATTATTTAATTATTATTCTGCTATTATTTCACCTTTAACTTTAGTTGATGTTTCAAGTGTGACTCACCTGTGCTAGATTTATTTTTTATGTTATTTTCTTTCCTATTCATCAATTTATATATATATATATATTATATTCCAACTTTTGCATGTTCTACAAAAATAAATATTTCACTATTTTTTTTATATTTTCATTTTTTCTTTTGCATTCCATGTCATTTTTAAATTACTTGTGTTTTTATTTTTATTTTTAAAAGATATTTTTGTCATGAATGAATCTAAATTCACTATTTTTTTTAAAATATTTTATTAAATAAAATTTGTAGAAACACGAAATATTTTGATTTGACTAGTATGTATAAAGGTTATACTACTTTTTAATTTTCACTTTTCTCAAAGTTAATTTATCCTTTAACTTATTTATTTATATTCATTTAAAATATTTTTATTTTTATCCATATTAATGTAGAAAAGACACTTCAAGTCTCTAGTCTATGAAAATAATAATATTGACTAGTTATAAAAAATACAAGGTGGTTATAAAAAGGTAAAACCATCCAAGAAATATGTACACGAAAAAGTTCTATTACTTTTTTATTATTATTATTATTATTATTATTATTATTATAGATTATAAATTATAATTAGAGACTTTCTTTTAGTAATGACACATTATCTTCTATAATAATAGTCATTTTTTAATTATTTTATCCTACTAAATAAAATCACCACCAATATCTTTTTTATATCTTCTATTATTTTTAATTTTTGAATAAATATGCAAAGACAAAATATAAATATTATTAAAATCAACTCCTATATATAAACAAATTTTTTTTTCGAGAGCGACCTACATGTTTTTCCATCCTTAAATCGTGGTAACAAAGTGATATTAATCATCGTTTCCCCTTTAATAGTTATGTAACTCTTCGAGTGTATTTAAATAATCAACTTAATTTAAAGAGCTTGTAATATGAGCTCATTTTCATAACATTTACCCTTAAAAAAAAGCATGAAGAAATGCCAGTCCCATTCATAAGCTTAACCAAACTGTAGCTTTAGTATATGATAAGCTAAGTTAAACAAGCCCTAAAAGCTCCAAATAAACCTTACAAATTCTTAGTTAAAAAAAAAAAAACTTACAAATTCTTTGAATTTGCAACGGGCAAATGAAATGGGATTGGACAGAAAGAAAGCTTACATGCATAGCTCAACTTAATGTTCTCCAAATAAAGCAGGAAATATGTACAGTAAATGTACATTCAAAGGATGGGAAGTAGGGGAATGGATGCTACAAAAACATTAGTGGTTCAACTTGACAACATGAGATACCCTTTCAAAGAAGTTGGGCAACATGCTAGGGCTGAACATGATGTCCTCCCTCATCCATTCTGGTGCCACTCTTTCAAATGCGCCTAGAGATAAAACATGGTACAGCAGCTCTGCTTCCTCTCCAGGTGATTTACTAATCCATGACAAACTGAAGGAGTAACCTATCATGTTTGCAGTTAAAGAAACATGTTAAATGGCTAGGATTTTATTTGAAATTAAACAATATGTTGTAGCAGTATAAATACTCTAAAAACTGTGACCAAGATCAGCTTTCTCAAAGAATGACCCACTAATGAAACAAAGGTCTAACTGAACTGAGTATAAAATATCGTTAAAAATCAACCAGTGTCCAAAAACTTGTTTGTTTAGCCCCCAAAAGAAATCCTTGATATTTAAAGAGCAATTGTGAGAAGATTGGAAACGAGGAAGAAGAAAATTCCACTGGGGACTGGTGTCCTGTTTGAGTATCTTGTCAGCTCAGCCAATCTATCATCTTCTGTCTGTCTCTCTGAGGTACAGATAATGAGCAAAGTATATTCATCCCTTCTCTCTATCTTTCGCGCTGTATTTTTATGCTCATCATGCAACTATGATTTGTGTGTCCTGTTTCAATGCTCTATCTTTTTTTTATAATAAAAATTCCCAGTAACTCTCCCTGTTTTTACCTTTATATAAGGGTGTTTTGTTATTTGTATACAATTTATATTACTATGTTAGGTTATTTGGTGTGCACTGCACACGAATACGAGCTAATCATACCCATTTCCTTTTATACTTTTTTTATCTTGCCCTCGTATTCTATCTCGAGTCTTCACCACCAAATAAGCCATCAGAATTCCAGAAATATATCCAGATTGAAACAATATAGCCTAGCATCTTAATCATAATTATTAACATCCCAACAAACTATTAACTCAGAAAAAAGGTATAATAAGATTAAGAATTAATAAGACGAAGATATTAATTACAATCCAAAATTATGAATTACCACTTGATTGATGCAGTGCAGAAAGGCATACTCGTCCAGATTGATAGTCGGTGGATAATTTCATGCCCAGTGCATACACAAAAAGAGCTTGAATAAGCCAGTTACCATGTCCACTCTCCTGTAAATCAATGCCTGTAAATTGCAATGAAAGACAAATAAAATATACCAAAACCCCCACCAAACGATTCACACATAAAGCATGAATGACAAGTGCTAACACCAACCTGATTGATCATTAGTCTTAGTACCGCACTGCAGCAGCTTTTTCACAGAAAAATATTAGCATATTAAGGGGATTACATTTTCCACCAAAAGGAAATAATTGGAATATATATATATATATATAAATGGATACTTATATTCCACTTTTAGGGTTTTTAATGCTCACCTCACTAGAAACGGTCTCCTTGAAAGCGTTTTGTGTTGATTCCCTCTCCACAGAATTACCTTCATTTTCAAAAGATATAAACCTTGTCATTTTTAAAGATGAACTGTTAGAATTAGTCTTAAACTGATCATCTAAAGTCATGATCTTACTGTTATTATTTAAACTATGAGATGTTCCTTCCTGGAGAAGCTTTAACAACTTTTCAACTTCTTCAGAAAGAGTTTCATCTGCCAAAAGTTTACAACCAATCAAATCGTCAATCAAGAAGAAGAATAAATGAAATTGAGATACATTTAAGGGCAGGGAGACATGGAATGGAAATATTGTGGTGAACTCACATGCACAAAAGATGCAATGAAACATTATCAAACTCCCAACGACGAATATAGATTCCCACCAAAGTTCCAAAGAAAAGATTAACTAGGTAGCTAATAATGGTAGACCATAATTTTCTATTTGAATAAAGAATTGATCAGAAAAATATGAAAAGTAACTAAATTATTTGTTCTTTGGGATGAATAAATAAATCACTAACTAAATTTAAAGAACCATAAATATCTCATTGAAAGGAAAACCAGATTCACTCTGCCAAAAAAGGAAATACTAACTGATATAAAAACATTTTCGAGTTTGATAACCTATCTAATATTAATGTCTTTGTCTTTGTTAGCAACTAAATACATATTTAAAGCACCAGTGAAGGGGAAAAATTGCCTGTTTTTCTTTCAGGTAAGTAAATTCCAAGAAGAATATTATGGTGTTTTGATCCATGTAGCCGACCCCAATTAGTGGGAAAGGGCTTGATCATTATAGACGGAACAAGGTAATGCAAATTGTCTAGATATGAAAGGCCACAATAAGACTAATCACAGATCCAGAAACTGTAAGACCCGTACAGATTTTTTCTTTTCTCAACCCTCTTCCTCTCTAAACTCTCACTCCCTCATTCTCTTATCTCACTCTCAATCCTCCCCCTTTTCACTTAGACCTTCCTTTTTCCTGCTACTAGGTGGTGGAACTGAGTGAAGTGGGTTGCTAGCTGGTGTTGAAGTTCTCTATTCTCCTTTCCCGTGTTCAAGCTTCCTTCGTTTTCTCTTTGGGTTCTCCCCGACGCTTGGATTTCTTCATACAGAGGTAAGGGAAGTTAGTATTTTGGCTGCGTTTTTGGCTGGAAAATGGGTTTAGGAACTCATTTGGCTGCTGGTGATTGATTGTGTTTGGCTGAGTTGCTGGAAAAATTGGGGTTTTGGGGTTTTATGGTTTTGAGTCAAAATTTGAGATTTTTCTTTGATCTGTTGTTGCATGCGCATAAAGCTGGTACTTTCGAGCTCCTTGATGAAAATGTGGCACTTTGAACCGTTTGCATGTGAGTTTTCTGTGAAATTTTGCAGGTTTTGGAAAATTTTCGAACTTGGGAGAGTTACTGATGAGTTCGCGCTGGGCGCTGTTCTTCGCGCCGGGCGCGCGACCACCAGGAGACTCTGTTTAGGCAAGTCCGCCGGGCACAAGGCTGTGTGCGCTGAGCGAGCTTGCAAATGGGAGTCTCTGGTTGGCCCGCGCCGGGCGTGACTCGAGCTGCGCTGGACGTGATATCAAGAGTAACATGTTTTTGGGATACTTGGGCCGCGCTAGGCACACTTTTGGACTCGCTGGGCGCGGAGGCTCCTTGGGAGTCTCTGCCAAGAGCACGCCGGACGCAATTGCGAATTGCGCTGGGCGCGAGACCTTGGTAGGTCTCTGCCTTCCCCACGCTGGGCGCTGGTTAGGCCCCGCTGAGAGCACGAGCTCCTTGAGTCTCTGCCAGGCAGGCGCTGGACGCAATTTGAAATTGCGCCAGGCGCGGGAGAGCCTTGGTGCTCTCGGGTTGAGTCTCGCTGGGCGCGAGTACTCCTGCGCTGGGCGCGCTGGTCCTGGTGCTCTCGGGTTAAGCCGCGCTGGGCGCGACCTCGAGTGCGCAAGGAGATGATGATCTATATGATGTTGGCTGTTGAGTTGTGCCGAAATTGTTAATCAATGATGTTATATGCTAAACCAAGTTGAATTTAAGAAGAAATAGAATTCCCTTCCGAAGCTCAACTTAGAACTACAATCCTTCCAAAGCAAGCTTCCTAATCTGAATTTCAAGAAAAGACAGAAGACATTAGTGATCTCGAGGAGAAAAAGAATCATACAGAGAAATTTGGGAGAGAAATGAGCTCACAGACCTAGAGTCATTCTCTCTAAAACTTCTCTCTAAAATCTCCACTTTCTCCTCAACCACACAACGCCTATTTATAGAAGTTCAGGAGTGGCCAGAACGGCCTGTTCCGAATCCGGAACGACTTGTTCTGCACCCTTTCATCTTTTGTAAAAATCACATGCAGAATGGCCCGTTTTGAAATCAGAACGGCCCGTTCTGGGACTCATCTAGAACAGCCCGTTCTCCATCCAGAACGGCTCGTACTCCCTCCAGAATGACTCGTACTCCCTCTGGAATGGCGCGTACTCCATCCAGAATGGCCCATTTTGGGGTTTGGAACAGCTTGTTCTCCCTCCAGAACGGTCTGTTCTCAGCTACATTTTATAGGTCAATTCAGTAGCTTGGAACGGCCCGTTCCAATTTGGGAACGGCCCGTTCTGGGCTACTAAATCACCCATACTGGGATTTTGTGCTTTCTAAAATAATTTGCTACGTTACAACTACTATAAAACCCTTCACTTGATGAGTGAGTGTGTGAATATTGGCTCTTGGGCCGTGATGGTTCTTCATCATGTTTGTTTCTACGAGGCCTAGAAGGCCCTTCACCAACATGTCTTTTGGGCTAGAAGGCCCATGACCCTCATTGGCATGGGTTTTATTAACTTCACCCCCCACCACAAGTTTACTCAACAACTCTCTTATGGTTTCATTATTTTTTCATTTTCTCTTTTTTTTTCTCTAATATAGTCCCTAAGTTCTCTGAGCTCATCTTTAGTACTCCTATGACTTCTAGGAGCATGATGACCATGAACACTACTTTCATAAGAATGATCACTCATTTTTGCAAGAGAAAGGTTTTCACAAATCTTAAGAAATTTTGCAAATTGAGTGATAAAGATTTTCACAAAAGGTTTTCTCTTTTAGGTGTAAGACTGAGTACTTGGAGGTCTAAGTATACAAGTTGCACTATCAAGGAAGGTGAGCTATAAGGAGCCACTTAATAACCAGGCCTTTTCAAGTGGAAATTACTAAACCCCCTTATACTTGTCTCACAAAACAAATTTTTCACACAAGCAAGTCAAGTAGTTGTGTGTGTGTGCACGCAACCCCTATTAGGCAAAGGAAGCCTTCTAAACGAGCTTAGAATTAAAACAAGTTAAAGGAAAGCAAGTAAAGCATACACTAGTCGTATGGTCCTAGGGTGGAAGTCCAAGTGATACTTGGAATCCCTTGGAACACTTCCACAAGTACTAAATGGTTTATGAAAGCAACTAAACTAGGCGTCTCCTAGTGGAAGCCCAAATGACACTTGAAGCCTTTTGGGGACCCTTCTACAAGTACTAAACGGATCTAGGAATCTTTATTTAGAAATATTTAGGAAGTGGTGGGACTTAATCAAAGAGTTTTCCCAAATAACCACTCCTAAATGTAAGTTTGACTTAACAAAGGAAATTAAAAGTTAACCCAAGGTAGAGTTAAGGAGTTACAAACAAAGGAAGCAACACAAATCAAGAATTCTTGAAGAACTTCCACCAAGGGAGGTTGGGAACAAGCTTGGAACAGCCTTGGAGTCAAGATGAATGACCAATTTGAAGGTGGAAAATTGGTCTCCACAAATCCGTCTCTAAGCTTCCAAATCCATCATTAGTTCTTCAAATCCGTCTCCAAGTCCTTCCAAAATCTGTCTCTAATTTTGACCTAAAATTAAAAAAATTCCTGGCTGCAAAAAAGAACAAACAAGTGATCCTTTCCAAGTTGTTTCACTCAAGTAGTTTGTACCTTAATCTTCTTCAAGTGTTGGCCCATTTGAGATTAACCCAATGTGCCTCAATTAACTCTTCCTTCCAAGTGTAATGGCTTGAAAAAGAGTTATATCCCACCAAGGCTTAACAATCAACAAGAGAGAGTAGAGGCCAAAAAATCAAAACTGAAAATGCACAATTATAATAGGTTACACTCTTATAGGAATAGTTCTTACCGGAGATCGGTCGCAGGGATAATCTGCTGGGCAAGATTGGTGAGCCTCCTTCGCTGGGTACGGTTGTTGTTCCAAGTGTGGGTGTATTAGTCTCGTATAAGTAATGCACGTACCTTTGTGTGAATTAGGGTTTCGTTGGGCCTTGGGCCCGAGGTCAGTTATGACTTATTTGGATGGTGGGCCTTGTCTTGGCCGATGTCACCTAGCACGTGTCCGAGGTCGTTTCGCGCTGTGAAGCCGAGCTAGAGCTCGGCTTCTCGG